CAACAAATTTAATTCCCATGAAGTAATGCCCTTGTCCCTTCCAATTTAGCAATAATTAGAAAGTCATCTCTAAGGAGCAGTCTACTTAAAGCGTAGTGATGGATATTTGACCCTAATAGAGATATAGTCACAGATTTATGTAAAGGATGTTCATCTCAGTGTTATTTATAACAGTAAAAATTTATTTGTTTGTTTGTTTCTTTGTTTTTAGAGGGGCAGAGGGGCAGATAGAGAGAATCTTAGGCAGGTTCCTTGTCCAGCACACAGCCCAGATGCGGGGCTAGACCTCACAACCCTGAGATCATAACCTGAGCCAAAATCAGCAGTCAGATGCTTAACCAACTGAGCTACCCAGGCACCCCAACAGTAAAAATTAAAAAAAGAAAACCTAAATGCCCCAAAATAGAATATAAGTTAAATAAATCCAGTTTTAGCCATTTGATGGAATCCTATGCAGCCATTAAAATGTTTTATAACAATATTAATCAACATGAGAAAAAGCTTACGATCTATTTAACGGGAAAAAAATGTTTACCAAACAGAACCTTTACTATGACTTTCAATTTCAGAAAAAGTGTATAAACATTTCATATACATTGCCTAAGCCCTCCTGCCAAAGACCATCAGGAACACACCAGTAGTTGAATGAGCTGGGTTTATTTTTTGTTGCAGTGAAGGAGAACATGCACCATGGGGAACTGAGGGGCATCTCAATAAGAAGGGTTTGTGTTTGTGTTAAGTAATTTGGGGGAAAGTTTAAGGCAGCGGGGCTTGCTGTAGATTGGGTGCCGTCAGGAAGTAGGGGTAGTTTTATGACTGGGTGTTTTAACAAATCTTTATCTAAAAGAGAAGACTAGACCAAAGCTAAAGCTGGAATTCGTTTAAAAATAAAAAACACAATAATCACTCCTATTAGCCAGGATAGGGACTTGTTTGGTCATTTCTGGGATTTGGACAACACTCATGCTTCTTCATCTGTGTTCAGACATGATTATGGAGTGGTCCTAATTTTGTCTGGATCCATCACAGTTACCGAATGACCTTATCTGACATTAGTGTTCTGGAGAATAGTTTTTATTCAAAAGGAGAACACGGAAGCTTAGTTGTGAGTACCAGGGCAGCTCCTAGCAATACCAAGTCCCAAATGATAATACCAGGCCAGCTCCTGGATGGCAGGGACTGATTTTCTTTTCCACACACACATATTCAAGAAAGACTAGAATTATGACAGATAATCATTAACTAGGTGTGATATTCCAGGCACTGTTTTAAGTGCCTTATATCTTTTAACCAATTTACTCCCCACAGCGACTCTATGAGATATGTACTATTAATTATTCCCATTTTCCAGAACAGGAAAGTATGGCATAAGGAGGTGAAGTTACTCACCCAACTTATCATAGTAAGTAGTGGAGCATGGATTCAACTTAGTGGCTATGGAATCAGCAGCCCAAACCTCTGCATTATATTGTCTATGTGTACAATAAATTATCACCGGTGGCTACCTTTGAAAGGCAGTGAGTGTAACAGGGCTACGGAGTCGTTCTGTTTCCTTCTTTATCTAGTTCTTATTTTCTAAATTTTCTACAATTAAAGTGGATCAATTTTTAATCAGAAAAAGGAATAATTTACAAATGTACTGACAGAAGCTCTATTCCCAAGGTCATTGTCCCAAATGCAAACCCAGGTCTTTGGTGGTGGTAACGCTCCCCTGAACATCTGAATCAAGAGAAGAAAAATCAAATCGGGAGGAGGCGACACCCCACCCTCTTGCTCCAACTCAATTTAGGTAATACTAACGGAATTTCCCGCAATATAAAGTGGCAGCAAGATCCACTCTGAGGCCATTCAGTGTCTCTGAATTAAAGGAGGCAGGGTGGAAGCTGCCCCAAATATACATCGAGACGATTAGAAATAGAGTTGGAAGGACTAGAAGCAAAATGCCTGGGTCTCAAAGGAAAGGCCTTTCCGTGTAGGAGGACAACAGTCCCACCCGGGCCAGCTGACCAACGCTGGGTGTCTCCAGCTCTCAGATTCAGCCCAGGCGCTGAGAAAGGGGATGCCTACTCTTCAGCCTGCGTGAGGCTCACATTAAGAGGCCGGAAATTCTCAAGTCGCGAGTGAACCAAGGTTAGGAGGGAACCATTTGGAGGGACAAAGACTTCAGAATGAAAAGAGCTTCGCCAAAATGTTAAAGGCTCCCAAGGAGACCTGTCGGTTGGTTTCCCTTCTCTTACTTTTGTCGCTGAGCTGGCGTCAGGGCATACAAAACATCTCTGTTCGCTCCGCGCGCAAAGAACGACTTTAGTTAGGCCTCCTGAGAGGTGCCCACCCACCAGCTGCCGCCAGCTCAGCGGCAAAGAACTGGGCTCACAGTATTTCCCACTGCCACCGCACACACACACAGCCCCCCCCCCGCCCTTTCCGCCTTTCCTTCTGCCCCGGCTGAGAGCCACGCAGGGCATCCACCCTGCCATTTAGCACCTCGGCTGCACAGTGGTGGGTGGTTTCCCAAAGCGTGTGCCCTCGCAGCCACTTGCGCTTGCCTCGCCAGTTGCAGGGGCACAAGTCAAAGAGGCTTTTCCCTCCGCGATCATCGTGAATCAGCAAAGCGCTGCAGAGCAGCGGCGTCTCCCCGAGCAGAAATTACGATGCTGGGGGAAGGGCACAAGTGGAGTGTTGCAGGGGAATTTCTAGCCCCTCCCAACGTGGCCCTCCCGGGGACGACGATACTGGGGTGGGGGTGGGGGAGGTGTTGGCTGGAAGCTCCTGTTTGAACCTAGGCGCCCGGGGGGAGCCTTTGGAAACAGAGATCGGTGTGGGGGAATAGCAAGGGTGAGCCGGGAAAGTGGACTAGAGTGGATGGGTAGAAGGGGCTAGGGAGCAGGCAGAGCAGAGCGGGTGCGCCCCCGGGGTGGGCAGCGCGGCAGTTGCAGGTACTGCTGAGGGACTGTAGGAAGGAGGGTCTGGTGTGGGGGAAGGGAAGAGAGAAACCAAAAAAGGAGGATTTCCCAGCCCAGGACTTCCTGTTTCTAATGTGCAAGTTCCCAAGTTCAGTTTGAGAAGTGAAGGGCCGTTTGGCATTGGGGAGTCTGGAATGGGAACGTTAGGGGAATACCTCCCTAAATCGCATTCTCCCACCCATTTCTCTCTCCCTCTTCTCTTGTCCTCTCCTCCTCCTCCCCTCAGTCCTCCTCCTCTTCCTCTCCCTATTCCGTCTTCCTTCAGCTTCAGTATGCTTGTCCATGCTCTGTAGTGCGGACTACACTCCAGGGACCGCGCCTCCAGTCGCCACAGCCTCTCCTTTGACCCTGGGCACTGGGAGGCCAAGCGGGAGCGACAGGAGGCGTGGAACGGAAAAACCGAGCGCTCGGAGCGCAAAACCTTGCGACCCCTCACCGCGCCCCAGTCCCCACCCCCTTAGCCGGACCGAGCGCCTCAGTGGCCCAGACTCCGAGATCTGGTTCGGTTTGAGTTGCAATGTATGGACCCCGGGGCTTAGAGCGCACAACGAAACGCGCTAAATTGTACCTGTGCGTGGCCGTTCCCGCCGCCGCCGCAGGTCTATCCCGGGCCGGAAGCCGGCGCCCGCCTTCTCGGGAAATTCTCTGGAGGGGGAGTGCGAGGGGAACCACAGGGACTGCCTGGTAGCTCAAGGCTGGCGCGCACACGCACACGCCCAACTTTGCCGAGACGTCGGCGCCCCCCGGGCTCCCCCGCGCCCCCTGCGGCTCGGCATGCTCGGAGACCAGTATCTCTCCAGGTCTGAGAAAAGGTGTCCCCCACTCCCACACTTGCGTCTTTGAGAATGAGAGGGCGGGTGTTGGAGAGAAGGGGAGTAACGCTCCGGATTCCCGGTTCACAAACACTCTACGCCCGCCCGCAGGGGCGCCCGCTCCAGCCCCGCCGCACCAGGTCCCCCAGACCCGCCTGTGACGACAGAGAGAGGAGGAGGAGGCAGGGCGGAGAGCCGGGAGTCCGGGAGCTCCACCGACTGACCATCAGTACCAGCACTTTTGCTACTGGGGGACGGGGTGGGCGCGCAGGTTGAGGGGCGCACAGCAGAACTGCCCAACCCCAATACACTCTGGAGCGACCCTAAATAAGGGCGAGAAGAAGGATTCTCCACAGACGCCTTTTGCGTGGACGTGCCCCAGACGCACACTCGGACCCCGTGGTCCCGCGGCAGCTGCAGTGTTGGGGATAATTTAAATGGCTCTTACTTGAGAGGAGGCGTGATTTCCACGTTCGAGCGTCTTCGCTCCCCACCCCCTCTCCGCACCAGCCAGTGCGCGCCACCACCTGAGCCTGGCGAGAGCCGGGGCGCACGCAGTCTTCAGCCTCCTCCTTTCCGCCTCTGGGGGTACTTGGCTCTGAGCGGGTCCACCCGACGCCCCCCGGGAGAACTCTTTACTTTCTGTTTGGAAAATAGGGGCCATTTCTTTATTCATCTCTGGGTCTCCCCGGAGGAGGACAGGGGAGGGGACGGCGTTCGAGGCGGGCCGGGCCGGGGGAGGGGAGCGCGGGGAGGGGAGGGGACTGGGTGTAGCCTGGAATTCTCCGTCCTCGTGTTCCTAGGCTGGCGCGCAGAGTCTCCCCGAGATAGCGCCGCCGCCGCTCCCCGCGCCACCCCGTCGTTGGCCTTGGGGGTCGGGTGAGTGGGGTCATGACGCGCCGCGGGGGCTGCTCCGGGCCCCTCCCGCGCTGAGCCGGGACGCGGCCCCGCCGCGCGGAGCCCCTCGGGCTGGGAGGCGGCGGGGGGTGGGGAGGGCGCACGGGGTAGGGCGGGGTGGGGGCGGCGCGGAGGGCGCCAGGCTGGGGGGCTCTCTGGGCCGGCGCGGCCGCGGGCAGGAGGGCGTGTCTCCGGCCCGAGGGGACCCTCCCGA